TTCACTGTATATATATATATATATATAGTAATGTAACCACAGTTTTCATATTTTATTTTACATAGAACTGATTCTGCCTATACAAGAAGATCAGCTATTATATGCCATCCTTGGAGTTATGCTATGTTTGCGCCATATTATACCTCATTTAGATGATAAAACTCAAAGCCTAGTATTAAAGGGTAGTATTGGGGTGCGTCAAAAGGAGGAAGAAGTGGAAATAACTCAAGATAAACTATTAGAGGTTTGGAATTTACTTTTTATGTCATATAATGAAACGTGCAAGAATACAGACTTCAAATAAAGCTAGAAAAGTTTGTTTAACTTCTTTTACTAAAATAAATTATGCTTATTAGTTGCTTGTATTGGTAAGCATTATAATATTTTGTATAAACAATATCTGAAATTTCTGTAGTTAGGATTGCATAGGAATCAGTTTCCAATTTGACCATCTGACCTTGAAGGTGAATAATGCTTTACTGACAAATTCCAGTAAAAAACATCACTGGTCAGTTAAAATTATACATTTTTTACTTCTTTAATCTTTAATGTTGCATACTGTTATTTTCCAGTTTACTTTCAGCCTTTGTTGTTATAGTAATTTTGTATGATTTATAGTGAGAGTATTTTCATGTATAAAAAGTATTCTTATTTTGATTAACAGGTCCTTTAGAATTGATGATATTGGCTGTTAAAACATTTAGTAAACATTAATGTCTAAATTGTTATTTCATAGTTAAGTTTAATTTGGTTTTTCTAATAGTTTTATTAGAATATTGTAATATTTCTGCTAGTTAAAAAAAGAAGCCTGTGATGTCCTTTGGAAATATTTCATACCCTAAACAAAAAAGATGATAATAGAACAAATGTTGTTAATAAAAAAATAATAATTTAAAACAGTTGCTATTAAGATGTAAACTTTGATTATCATATGCTTCTTGTAAAAAGCTACAGCGTATTTTATCTTCTTTGTATTTGTATTGAACTGCACTCCATTTTAGACATATTGTCTTCATGTTTTAGTCATATGTATGTATATAATTAGTATGCATGTACAGGATTTTGGGGGTGGGGTGTTCAACTGTTTGAACAGAATATAATCCTAAGCTTAATGATATATAGGCCTAGTTGTAAATGGTACGTATTCCTTAATAATATGTTAACTAGTAAAACAGATATATTATCATTGTTTTAATAATAATAATGTGGAATATACCATTCCAATTTTCATTGATTGTATAGAATAATTATTGTTTTTTTTTAGATTTTACAAACTAAGTGATAAAGTCTACTTGTGTTCTTTTTTCTCTGTATATTAAGTTTGGATTTTCCTTGCTATACACCATATAAATTCTAAGTCCACCTGTATATACCTTTGGTGTGTATGTTAATCCTGTATTATTTGAGAAAATACATGAAATAATAACTTTGATTAATTATGTGTATAAGTATAAATTTTTTTATAGTAATATTTAACGTAACAGTTAATATGTTAAAAGGCAATACTAATTTTGATAATTGCTAAATTGTTTTAGTTCCAATAAAGTTTTAATTTACTGTAAGATTTTAATACTCCAAAGTATGACTTCTTTTGAAAGCTTTATTTTACAATTGTTTATGGATCAGAGAATTCAACTTGGATAAGGTTGTCTTGAAATGTCTGATATTTTGAGTAGTTTATTCAAACACTTGTACTCTTACTTCTTTACCAAATACGTTGTTCAGTGGCTTAACAATAATATTACAGGACTTGGTCAGTTTCAAAAAGTTATTATTTTTTATTCCAGATTTATGAATTGCTATTGCACTATTGTAGACACACTGATCATAACATAGTCACAGCTGCTTTAGAGGCTCTACACCAACTACTCAGAATGCCTCCTAAAACACTTCGGCATCTTCTGCTCTCTGTAGGAGGCATCAGAACATCCCGGATTTTCACATTTAGTTCACATGTTGGCTTCAGGTCACGAAGTGGTAGTGAGTAAATAAAATATTTTGTAACAAAATAATTTATTATTTACTGTCATACCTAGAAAACAGCATCTCTTACGAAATAATTTTATTGAGAAATGTCTTCAAGAAGGAAAAGAAAAAAAAAATAATATATATATATATTTATATGCACATGTATAACACAGTGTGCATGTGCACAAACATTTAGTTTTTTGGTTGAAATATTTAAACAGAACTGATACGTTACATAAACTAGGAAAATCAAAACTAAATTTAAATCTAAATCAGTTGGTATATTTACCACAAAGTGTACTTAAATAACTATTATTTTTCTGTAGTTAACATGAAGTAGATACACTGGGGAACATGTACTTCAAATAAAGGAGTTATAATAATGTGACAACAGATAGTTGATATCAGGTTTGCAAACTGTAATATTATTCTTTTTGGTATGTAGCAACGGCATCTTGTAAGTACATAGAAGTGTTTTTTGTTGTGGTTTTTTAGCATGGAGGCACATAGAAAATTACATTTATGTTGTATTTTGTTAATTCTAAGTACCTGTACTAAGAAAGGGTTAGTTATTTAGATTAACATCAGCCTTTAGTTAGG